TCCTGTATCCTTGCCAAGTTTTAAAGGGCAAAAAATCAACAGCTGATAATTTAAGCCAGGAACCCAAAATGATCCAAATTCATCCCCCGTGTAATTTTGGTAAAGCCAGTAGAGTTCCAGAGGAGAAGTTGTTGGCTTAGCAAAGTAAATTTTCCATAGCATTGGAGGAATACACAATACCAATTAAAGCAGAGCTCATTATTGCTACTATTATTTGCACTGCAGAAGTGTCCAGGGGCTGTTATCAGGACTGCTGATTTGGAGCTGCTAGGAACCAAGCTCTGATCTGCAAGTTCAGGCAAATAGTTCAGGTTATTTTGTTCCTGTGTAGGCTGGGACTAAGTTCAACTTCTCTTCCCCCATATGTGTCACAAGAATCTGGGCCACAGAAGCTGCTTGGAATGCTTTGAGCTTTGCTTGCAGTCATCACATGTCCTTTTTAGCTTTTTAGAGAGTGGAAGAGACTAGGCTGGTCCAGGGAAATAAAGTCTTTCCCCCAAATTAGCATTCGGGCACGATCAACGCTGCCTTATATTGGTTCCTCATCAGGAAACAGGTCCAGTATTTGCTTCCTCTGATATGCTCATCATGGTGTACCTCTCCCTTTGCCTTGGAAAAGGACATTTACCTGGACATTTTCTTTAAGTTATTCTTGAAAGGAAGGACTGTGTTATGTTTATCAGCTTCACTCTGATTCACCTGATGCTGCCATCACCACACAGGCTTCCTGGTGAAATAAAGCAAAGGTTTCCTCAGAGCATCCAGAAAAAAAAACCCACAAAATTACAGACAAAATGCTTAACATTTAATAAACATGAATGTTTAACACTTGGATGCCTCTGCCATTTCTTCTTTTACTCTAGACCCCTAAAACCTGTTGTAAACCCTGGGGTCCAGCAATGTCTAGAGGCAACCCAAAGCTACAGCCTAACTCTCCTTCCTGTAGCCACAACAGGTCACTCCTTCTTCCTTCTGGGATCACAGTGAAGCAGCCAGGGACATGTCTTACACAAACACCGTGCTGGGCTAGGCCTGTGGTTGCCCTGCTCTGATAGCCAGAGGCCAGTGCTGCCTCCCTCGCTGATCATTGCTATCCAAGCCAGACTCTAACTTAAACCCTTCAGCCTGGGCTGGAACCACAGATAACATAGGTGAAATTTTATAATTGCAAAATTTACACTTTCTGTTGAGATTTGGACCTTCCTAGGGTCTACACACCATGAGGCATTAACAGCAAACTTGACAGGCACCCTGCTCACTTGGTCCCTCTTGCAGGACACGAGGCTTCCTCCTCTCCTACCCCGGCAGCTGTAGCAGCTGGATGTCCTTCGGTCATGTTGCTCTGAGGAAATCACAAGTGAAACGAAGTCTCAAGTCATCAAGTGGACGGCAGACAAGGAGCCAGATATGCTGCAACAAGTAGATAAACAACCAACAAGGCTGGAGGAGAAAACAGAATGAAACTTAATGATAACAAAAGCTGATATGCATAAATGCTGGTTTGGTTTCTCTGGAGGTGTGGACAAATTGTTTGAAAATGGGAACTGAGAGGAAAACTAGGACCTAACCTAAGTTTTGGCATTACAGGAGCTTGCTTGGGGTGAGACGCTGTTGCCACTTTCAGGATGGCTGGCACGCACGGACTGAGCTCCTCCACAGTTCCCTGGGCTGCACAATCTGCCCTCCTCGCAGCTGCAAAGAGGAGTAAGGCAGGATGGAGCGGAGTGAAGATCCTGTGGCCAAACTCTGCTGCACTCCTTGTGCTGGGCCGCTGATAAGCGGCACAGTAGCTGCCCAATGGGAGATACACGATAACAAGCCTGGTGCTGAGCCAGAAAGGTGGCAAATCACTCCTTTCGGATGAACTTTGCTTGAACTTTGCTCGTTATAAGCTCATTATAATGCCAACACACACCTCCATCCCCAAAGTTAGCCGCCTCCAGGTACGACCACCCCTCACGGAGCATGTGCTCTAGATTTTCGATTGACGGTACCTTTAAATGAAAGCGAGAAACTTTTTCACCTATCCATAACAATATTAAGTATGTCTCTAGTCACTCAAGCTCCACCTGAATGTAAAGAAAAGTATAAAAGGTGAACTAAGGATGAAGAGGAGAAGAGAAGAATCCATTGAAAATTTTGGATCAGTGGATGCGCTGATCCCCTTTCCTCCCCTCGGAATTGAACGCTGCCTAAGAAGACTAAACCGAGAGGCAAGAAACCATGACGACTTTCGGGTCGGTCGATGGGCTGATCCCCCTTCCCTCCCCTCGGGTTGAGACGCCGCCTGAGGAAACTTGAGACTGAGAGCTCTCTCCCATCTTCTGGGGTGAGTGATGATTGCGCATTTGTACATCAGAGCTAGCTAAAAAAACCCACGCTGTAGTAGAGAATTTCTCGTACTGACATCCGAAACCTGCTTTGTAAATGTTGCATTTGAATAAATCAGACTGTTTGTGAACTCGCCTACTTGTTTGGGGGAAGGTGATCAGACCTATGGTCCATAGACTGTTTGTGAATCCGATACTGATATGATATCTCCTTCCCCCCTCCCCACCACTATGGCTTTCAAACTGCAACATTTCACACATGCACATGCATCTTTTTGTTTTATTTTAATCCTCTAAATGCTCTTTTAATTCCTTAAATTCCTTAGTTCCTTAGTTAGATACTTAATCATTTTAAAGGCCTTTCTTTATGCCTTTAGCCTTCTGTGGAGGGACACACAATTCATCTTGGTGTATTTTTAACGGGAGGTTTTGTCTCCACAGACTGTTACCACAGGCTGTTACCACAGGTTGTAAATCGTACTCAGAGATATCTAAATGAGAGTGATTTTGCACATCTCATTAGTGCACTTTAAATACAGGAATCCTTTTAACCACTTAAAAGTGTTTGCAAAAAAAAAAAAAAAAGAATAATTTAAGCACCACCAACATCAAAAGATTAAAAAGGAAACTTTCTGTTCCAAAATCAAGTTATTAATTATTCTGGAAAAAATATTACAATCCAAAGCTAAAATAAATAAAACTGAGAACGACTGCTGTAGTGTAAAGAACTTATAGAAGTTACGTGTCATGGAATGAGTGGTGGGGGGCCCTCCCCCTATTTATGGAATAATTTATTTATAGTCATTTTCACTTACCTGCTGAATTTTTGCTGACTTAGACTTCGGCTATTGTGTCGTTAGCTCCTTTCCCAATGTCCACTGGAATATTCCCAAGCAGGATGCACTCCTGGGGTCAATGTTTGGTGGGTAAAGAAGAGAGATTTAGGGAGGCAGACACCATAGTTAGGTAGTGCCACCAGTGATCAGCACCAAAACAGGCTCAACATTTTTTATGCAGAATATTCAAAATCGTCCTACCTTGGTGTGAAGGCTGGAATCTTGGCCCCACTGAAACCACCTTGGATTTCACCAGCTCGGGTCACCAGGCAACTCCTGCCCCTTTTCCAGTATCATTCCCAGCTCACTTGCTACTTCCAAACAGACAAAGCTGCATAGAGGGGCCACTACTAAATTACCAGCAAATTTGGGCTGTTCACTAAATTGCAAGCAAAAATTTGGATATGAGTTTGCAGAACTACATACAGAGCAAACCTCAAGCTGCACAGTTGTGAAGCTAAAAAAAAAAGAGACCAAAAGCAGTGCGGAGACGGGTCTGCAGGGAGCCACGTACAAAGCGACATGAGAACATCCCCATCGTCCCAGTGAGGGTTTAATCAGAAAATGTCAATAATTTAAATACTAAAGTTGTTAATAATTTCCATGAGGACTTGTCCACCTGGGAAAGTTTGGCCGGTTACTTGAACTAATCTTCTTCTACTAATAAAAGCCTCAGATATTTTGTTTTAGCTTGGATTAGGTTTGTCCCAAATTGGATAAATTAAAAGTTTGTTTCACGACAAGGCAGAGTTGAGTATTGAATTTAATCTGCTCTGACTGCATGGAGCGCCTGAAGCCCCTGCATTCACATAAGCTCCCTCATTAAACACACAATTAATGATGCTTTTTGGTGGATTATTTCCTCGGAGCACCAGGCAGCTGAACTCACCTATGCAGCTGCAATGGCTGGGAGACGAGGACGACAACTGCCAGCATCAGCCTCTCCATAAATTGTATGAGGGATGGTATAAAAAGAAGTAAAATAAAATAAACGCATAAAATAAGATAAACACATAATATAAAATCAAACTGTAAAATAAATCCATAGTGTGAAGCACAAAACTCATAAAAGAATACACACAAGTGAGCTGTGAAAAAAGGGGGCAATGGGACTGTTTTAATTTAGTTTTGAGCATACGTAACCAGCCAGGCTTTAAAAGCTGGAAGGCTACACATCAGTGCAATGCATCCCAACTTCTCCTTTGGGACATAATTTATGATTTTAATATTATTTTTTATTTTTTTGAGCACAGAAGGGGCTGGACACAGATATTCAAGCTCGCCTGCCCCGTGTCCTGGCCCCTACGCGCTGCCCGGGCATGCAGGGGCGGCGGGACCCCAAGAGACCCCAAGGTAGCGCAACTGCCTCGCGCCTCCCTCACGACGCCATGTTGCGGCCGCGCCCCCTCACGCGCCTCGCCTTCCCGCCCCGCCGCCCGCGCCTCCTGCGCATGCGCGTCCCCTCGCACCCGCGCACGCAGCGACCCAGCCCTCCCCTCCCCCGCGGCACATGCGCGCTGCGGGGAGGAGGCCGCTCCGCGCAGGCGCAGGAGGCGCCGTGGGGCTGCGGCGCGCGCATCGTCCCTGCCCTGGATAACCAACCAGCGGCGCGGGGCGGGCCGGTCCTCCAGAGTCCCAGGGTGCAGCGCGGGGGCGGCGGCGGCCGCCATGTTGTGGTAGTTTGTTGTTCTGGTGCGGGCGCTGCGCGCGGAGAGGCCGCGGCCGCGCCGGGAATCCGCGTCCTGCCCCGGCCCCCCCGCTCCGCCCCACGGCCTCGAGGAGGACGCGGGGGCGCCGCCGGGACCCCCCGCCGCCCGGGGCGGCACGAGGAGCCATGGCGGCCGCCCTGGGAGGAGGAGCAGGTGGGTGCGCGGCCTCCGCGCGGCGGCCGCCGCTGCGCCCGAAAGTGACGAGACCCTCGTCGGTTTGGGCGGCGGGAGGGGCGGGGAGGGAGAGGGGCTCGATCCGCTCCCGCGGTGTCACTTAACCCCGTGGCCTTTGTCCCCGCGAGAGGCGGCGGCGATTTGGGGCAGTGGTTTTCTCTGGCTGTCACGGTCTATACTTTGTCCGTGGGATCGCGCAGAGCGGTCAGGCCTTTCGCCATTGCTAGCTTAATTGGTAACAAAGCGCGTAAATACAGTTAGTTTTCATACTTAGTATGAAATGATACTTCATGTAAATATTATAAAGGAGTTCTCACAGCTTGGGGGGGAGTTTTTAGGGAAAGAGAGGAATTGGCAGCATTGTAAAATAGGAAAAAAATGGTAGTCTGAAACCTTGATTTAATAGTGCTAAAAATGTGATAGTAAGTGAGATACTTTACAATTTATGTTAGCTCTTGTGGTTACGTTTAATAGGCTAGATTATGTTTAAATATCATGAAAATATTTATAAGCGTTTATTTTACAGGTAGGTTTCCTCTAGTTTTATGAAGACAGCGCATTTTAAAGGAAGTGTTACTCTTAATTATTTTGGTTCTGGGCTTTAAAACTTGACTGCATCCTTTCCCATACAAACGTGTGCAGCAGACAGTGCCCTACTGCACTAGTAGTAGTGCAGTAGTGCCCAGTGCACTACGTGGTGAGATGCAGTTTCCAGGGTAGTTTTTGTTGTTGTGAGCACCGTTTGGCCTGCCTGTGAATCAGAACCCTTTGCTCTAAGTGGACACAAGCAGTTGTTTGTTCAGAGTTAACATTGTGTTAACTGAATTACTAAAAAGTGATTAATTAAACATGATCATTGGCCCATCTAAGCAGTGGCTGTAGTTTGAATCTGAATGTTCTCCAGGCAACGCTTACCTAAATAGGAGAGCCCAGAGGTGTTACAGTTTTATCTTAGTTTAGCTGGACAAGGAAAAGTCCTGGTTGAAAGTGTTAAACATAATTTCTAAACATGATGTTCTGCGTGGAATTTACACAAATGAAATATTTAACCCTTTTTGGAAATGGGCTGCTAGTAAAAGACGAGTAACAAAAAGGAGAAGAGAAGAAAAAAAGAAACAACCAAGAATCTCCCTCCAAAAAAACAAGCAGCAAAGGCAACAAGGAAACCTCCTGGTTTCACAGCTTAATCTGTGACACTTTTGCTTAGTTAAAGTTTTAGCTGCTTAGTAATATTTTAGACTGAGTTCTTGGATACTTTAGAAAAAAAATGGAGCTAAATGGATAAAATATGGAGCTAATAGCAACCATGCATTTTTGGTTCAAATAGAAAAGGCCATTATTGGTGGTTGGTAAAGAAAGACAGAAGCTCTTGGGAAAATAATTGGAATTTAAAGTGGACTTCATTGGAAGGTGACAGTTGACAAGGTGAGGCAGCTTTGGCTTTGAAGACATATTTTAAAGTTAATACTTGCTGTAAGGGTCGGATGCAGGGCTTAAAAGTGAAGTGGCTGCATGTGCTGGACATCTGAAGTACATTTGATGGGATGGAAGGAAGGTGATTGGTCTGGAGGGTCTGTAAAGAAGCTGTGTTGGAGGCTTGTTGGTCATTAATAATCTCTTAGGCTCTTGGAAGGCATCAGGGATGCATCAGTTCCCATGTGTAGTGTTTGTGTGACCAGATCTTTGTGTAGATTGAGCTTTTTAAGATTGGAGGTAAAGACTCCTTCAGTGAGAGGATTCCCAAGCATAAACTAGAAGGTTCCCAAGGGATGCCTCTGAGGTCTTCAGAAGTTGGTCATAAGTTTGTATTAATTCACAGACTCCTTTGCCACACAGCCTGGTTCAACTTGCTGCTAATTTTAGAGTGGTTATATTGAAATACAGGGCACAAGTGCTGGTGAGGATGAGGGACTTGGAAGGCTGATAGTCACTCATTGATCTATTGATACAGTTAACAATTCTTGAGTTTTTAATCAAACCAACATGTTGAATCTCAAGTTAACTGATTCTCATGTAATGTTGTGCAGTTGCTGAGATGTATTTTTGGTGTTGAAAGTTCAGATGGAAATGAATGGTGTTTAATCTCGTTCACGAGGGGTGGATGCAAGGGGAGATGAGCAGTGGTCATTAAAATGTAGCAAGGAGCATTTTCTTCCTATGGCTGTTGGGGATCTGCCTTTGCTTGATCTTGAGTGCAGCTGTCCTGGGGTGGGAGTCACGAGCTTTGCCAGATGGTGATGCAGGATAGGGGAGGGAAGAGCTGGAGAGGTTCCCACCTTGACATTTTTCCCATCTTCTTGGCCCAAGTCCTGCACTGAGTGTGGCTGATTGGGTGTCTCTTTGCCCTTGAAGTGGTTTTGTTATTTCTGCAGTTTGAACTTAAGCTGTCATCAGCTTAATTTCATTTTAAGTGACCTGAGGGCTACCGTTACTGCTAGGAAATTTGGTGGTGTTGGGTAATTTCCATGCAATGGTATCCTTGTGTTTTTATCTCTCTGTAATCTACCTCTGTCCTTGTGGACAGGGTGGGTTTATTCTGAATCTGTTTAATATTAGATGCAAATTGAGTAAACATTCACTTCCCAAAGCACTCTGTATTTTGGCAGGAAGATAGTCTGGATTCACTGTGCTGCTCACCAGCATCATTCGTGGTTTGAACTCGGGAAATAGTTGGGAAAAGAGATGATCCTTCCAAGTATCATACATGTAAAGCCTCCTTTTAGGACTGTTAAACTGTAAGACTTTCCAAGCATTTTGTGTTGCTGCTCATACACTTGGTGGGGAGAAAAAAGACCAGTGTGGGCACGTTGCCAGTCACACTCCAGAGGCCCAGAGGAAATTCTGCAGTCTGCTTGAAGTGGAATTTGTCTTGCTTCAGGTTATAGCACAGCAGGTTGCAGGACCTGGAAATAAACCCTGCTTTCTCTTTTATCCCTGAAGTGGGTAAAGTTCTGGCTGTGTTTTGGTCTCTGTTGGGCATTGCAGCCTAATTTATTAGGCAGCCTGACGCAACTGGTCCCTGTTGCTTCTAGTTACATCAGAGGGTGCCCGTATTGAAACTCCTAAATGCCAAAGACCTGTAGAGTTGATAGTTCTTGAAATACAAATATGTGGTCATGGGCTATTGTGTCAGCTGTGGACTAGAGCCAAAAAGCATTACAGCTGGTGGCAGACAGGTTTGCTTTTGAGCAAGATAATTTAAAATGCTTCTGTTTTTCTGAGAAGTTTTTGCTAGAAGTCATGTTCTTCTGAATATTCCCTCACTTCTGGTCACCAGAATTAAATACAGCCTGAACATTGACTGTGTTTTTACAGGAGCTAAGCTGTGCTGAGTTTTGCCAAATGCTAAATCTCTGAGTTTAGCCCTTGTGGAACGTCTTGTCCAGAATGGAAAGGTTCGTGATGGCACCGACTCAACAACAGCAACAAAAGCCTCTGAGCAGTGAATGCAGTTGGAGCCTCCTGCTGCGGTGCCAGCCTCGCTTCTAACTACAGTTTGTGGTAGCAGGGAACGAGGCTGGAGAGTTAGCGTTTCTGAGCAGTGTCCAGAGTTCTTTGGGAACCAAATTCATGTGTTTTTCATTAAAACCCTTGGACTTACCTCTTCAGTGGCAGGCATCATGAGTTTAATTTTTTTTTTCCTCCCTTTGAAAACAAATGTATTTTCAAATCCAAAGCAGGTTGTGGGAATGTCTTGGGGGCTCCTTTACTCTCGCCCACCCGCTCAAAAAAAAAAAATGAAAAAGGAGGAAAGAGGTTTCTTCTTAGCAGTGATCATGAGCAGAGCCTCTTGGTGGCATATCAAAATGTGTTCCATTTTTGCTTATGCTTAGTGACCTGTTTTACATCATAGCAAACTCTTTAAAAAAGACAAAAAAAACTTGTCTCCTATAGAAATTCCTTTTTATCCTTTTTTTTGAGAAAGCAAAACACTTTCCTATGGGACTGAGAACAATGCCATGAAATATGCTTTTGCAGGGGCTTAGTTACTGAGTTTTTAAGGATTGTGTGGGCAGTGGTTTACCAAAATAAAGCCTGTGTGATGTCTGTCCCTGAACACATAAGCTGTACAGTTTATGTCTGTGTACAGTATACTTTGGCACCCTTTTTTTGTGGGTAATGAAGGAGTAGGAGTAAAGAAGACTCTTGTCACATAGAGAGCTTGGTTGCCTGTCATGAATGAGGCAAGATTCATAGTGTGTGTCATAACGTGTTGGTTTAAATCACAGTTCTGGCTTCCGAAGTTCTCAATGTGGTTCTACACTGGAAATGCAAACAAAATTCCTGAGCCTCAACACCACCCAGCAGCAGGGATGTTTTTATTCAGCTAGCACTGATGCCACAGGTACATTTGCTGTCTTATGTTTCAGTCTAGGTTGTTACTCTTGAAACCTATTATCCCACCTCAGTGTCCCACAGTAAGTGATACAAAACTGCAGTACTGAAAAGAATGGGGCATCTCAAAACACTCAGTTTTTGGGAATCCAGGCTTTGTTACTTTTTTTTTTGTGTATATGAAATTTCTTGCAGTGAAATATGAGGACAAATATTCTGGGCAAATAAACTACTACATACAGATAAGCTAGTAGGAAGATTTTTTTTTTAATCTGGAAACTTGTGTTTGAAAAGCTGTCAAGTTGTCATGTTGAGTGCTTTAAAAATGATGGTGGGAATCACCGTGGAATTGATTGTGTTCAGTGTTAAAGCAAAGCAAAGTGACATATTTTTCATCTGGTAGTTGACTTTTCTGGGTTTTGTCTCTTTTTTTTTTAACCCCCTTTTCCTGTCCACCCCACAATCAGTGCACGCAGTTTCTTTGTGGAAAGACCTGTTGGTGCTCAAGGAATGATGGTTTTTTACCCACTGAACTCCTAGGTCTTTGTTGGAGGAAATGGCTTTCCTCCACCTTACGGTGGATAAGAAGAAATCCGCAATGTGCTTTTTAGAGACCTAAAAGTAATAGTGTGTCCGGTATTCACAGGGACAAAATGTTGGACCGATTTAAAAGACAACATTTAGAGCAGTTGAGGAGGTTTATGGGGCAGCTTGGAGCCCATGTTACAGAGGATTTTCTGGTGTATTTGTAAGTAGATCAATGCAGTTTTCAAGTGATTTTTTTCCTAGTTGGGATGTCTTGGACATTTCCTTGCAGGAAAATGCTCTGTCTTAGCAACAGTTGCTAGTGGGGCTGCCTTTTCAGGCTGCCTTGGTGCAGTTGCAAGGCCCAGAAAAGCTCTGCTGCGCGCCTGGGCTGCTCGTTCACCCCCTGCGCGCGTGAGCCTTGGCGAGAGCGGTTGCTGCGGCGCAGGCCTCCCGTTTGGTACCGCAAATGTGAGGGAAGGCTTTACTGAAAAGGTGCCTGGAGAGTTGGAAGCTCCCGTGAGGGCAGCCAGGGAGGAAAAGCAGCTTGTGCCGTGTGGATTTCTAGCCTGGATGATCCAGTCTTGTTAAGCAGTGAGGGGAAAATCTCAACAGTTCCTGGCAGTAACTGAGGAAGCGACAACAAAAAAGCTGTTGAGGAGCTTACGCTCTGCAGTGCTAAGCTGGGAAGAGCAGAAAGTAAGTGGAAATGTTGTTAGGATGGGGAATAGAGGGTGTTGGGCAGTCCCTAGGGCTTTGCTGTGCCCCGGCGGGACAGACTTGGCTAAGAAAACAACTCCTGGGCTCTGTGAGCTCCCTGGTTTTCCTTTGAACTGCGGAAGAGCCAAGTTGTGGATTATTCTTCCTATAAGACAAGTCTGATTTTCCTAATCAGTCGTTGCTTTTCAGAAGATGCAAGTAGTGTTTATTTCTGGTGTTTTCCGATATTATTAACTAGAATAGTGGGGGGAAATTGAAAATATCCACAAGTTTGGAGATGAAAAAGAAACTGTGCTTGGTGGAGGCTTGCTGGGTACCCTGAGGCTGGCAGTGGGTGCTCATGCCAGGGGTTCCCAGATACGTAAGTGGTGATGCCCCTTCCTGGAGAACTGCACAGATCTAGCCTAGAAGTGTGTCAGGAATGGGGTCTCCCTTTTAATATTACTTGTTTACTAGCAATAGTAATAGGCTGAAGCACTTTTATATCAGTGAAACTTTATGTGTCTGGCCCAGGGAAGTGCTGTGGGTTATACTGAGGGATGATTCCTTGCGTTGAAGGGAAGTGTCTGCAGATCAAGAGGTTTGTCACGTAGCTTTCTAGTTTCTGGGTTTTAAGCCTGGCTGAAGTGAAGGTCTGTCTGGATGAGAAATGTGTGCTGAATTTGGATTACTGTAGAGCTGAGATCTTGACTGCAAGCTGTGCTGCTTTGTAATCGGACAGCTCTCTGTAGTCATCATGGGAAGCCCCAAAATGCAAAATTATGATTTTTTCTTTTTGCAGGTGAACAAACACTGCTGAAAGATCACTGCTTGCCTCATGGTGCTGACAGCCTTGAGTTTCCTTAGGATATATGAGAATGGTCTTGATTTGGTTCAAAAGCAGTCGCATCTCCTGAAACTACCTTGGGCAGTGATTGCAGTGGATCAATGCAATTCAGCTGCAAGGATAACGACACTGCAGGATATTGGTGCCCATTTGTAGCCAAATGGCCATGCACAAAGAGCAGCCCTGCAGCACACCTCTGAGTGGATGAGTTAGCTATTTAAGAGACCAGAAAGGAGGACAGAGTTCAGGAGGAAGACAGGAAATTCCTAAATATCCATCTCTTTCCTCTGTTGGTGGAGTAGGGATTGCAGTGGAGAAGGTTGTGATACAGAGATGATATTTGAATGGAGAACCACAAGTTAACCATTAGTTTCCATGGTGTTGTATAAATACAGCAGCAGATAATAAATAAACATCCCAAAACTCAGCAGAGTGAGAGCAATAAATAAGCAGCATAAATAAATTGGTTAAAATGTAAATGACTGGTATGTGGTTCCCTTGTGATGAAGGGGAGTTGTTGTGTGTTGCTACCAAAGTGAAAAATTCTTATTTTACTTTCATTGCACTGTAATTCATAATGAGTCTGTTTATTTTCATACCTCTGTATACCAGTAATTTCTGGTTTGAAACCTAGTTCTAGTGGTGTTGCCGAATCTAAATTTTCACTTTTGAACGCCTTCCCACCCTTTCGAGTTTCTATCAATGACTTAAAATGGGCATTTCGATTAAATATGAATAAAATAAGGAATATATGGAATTATCTTAGCAGCTATCAGGTATATATGGAATTATCTTAGGAATGTCCCGACTGAGAAAATCAGTGGTGTCCTGTGCTTGACTTCCATGCTCCAGTTCAGGCTGCTGCCCCCTTTCCGGCTTTTGCAGGATTTGAGGTTGCTCTGGTTTCAGTGGGAGCTTGAGGGAGCCCAGAGCTCTGGCTGCTTCTGTCCCATCGCCTCCCATAGCGCCAAATTGCTTGGGAACCCCTGCTGCTGGAATGATCTCCAATGGCAGAATTTTCCAGTGAATTTATCTTTTCCCCAATGATTCTTTTCATTTGCCTCATACCTCAACAGTTAAAAGATAGAACCTGTGTTGCATGATTTTTTTTTTATTTTTACTGAAGCAAATACTAATAAACATTGGTATTTATCTGTTTTTTTTCTCGTGTAAATTGGAAAGTGAAAAAAGGTATTTCAGCATCTGCTTCAAAACAAAACAAGCCGTCGCTTCAGAAGCCTTCTTCAATTTCAATGAGAATTATTTAATATGGTCTTCTTCTTTACAGATGATGACTTTGATCAGTTTGATAAGCCTGGTGCGGAAAGGTCGTGGAGAAGAAGAGCTGGAGATGACGACTGGGACAGGTGAGTTGAAATTTTTCATGTTTGTAGTCTGTAGGCTGAATTGCAAAGCTCTGTTTTCCAGTTGTGGCATTTTGTATCCTAACATTTAGGATAACACACATTTAGCTGCTAATGAAGCTGTTGGTGGTTATATATATGTCAGCAGACACCAGAATATGCCTGCCTTGAGCAATATAGAGCTATGAAAAGACATCATTTAAAACTGGATAACTGTAAAGCATTTGCAGTATATGATTTAAGTTTGCAGTTGATGTCCTGATTTTTCTTGTAAATATTTATATCTTTGGCATAATAGTTTTGCTAGTGCCCATTTTAAGGCCTTTTTGGAAAAAAAGAAATAACTGTTCAAATTCTTACCCTCAAAATCCTCATTCAGTCTCACACTGGGAGTGAGGAAGGGAGTGGGTTTCTACTGAAAAATATGACCAGTCTTGTAAAGGTGTGGAATTATGGATCAAACTAATTTTGAGAGGTAGATGAATGCAGGTACTTTTCTGCTAAGGTCCTGTAACTGGGATAGATTTGAGTCAAGCTGCTGCCTGGATTAGCTTATTCTTTCTTTCTGCTTTTAGTTTTAATAGACAGAGATGCTTGTGCAAACCTTGCCTGTATATAAAAACAGACATTTTTATTTATATATGTATTTTCAAATGATGTTCACGTGAATGTAGTAAACAAAGTTCCCTATACACAGTTTTCTGCTGAGCTCCTCAAAATGAATCAGCTGTTACTCATTATCCTCATTCCAGAGGAATTAGTCTCCTTGGTTGGGCTCTCATGCTAGGGCGGGCAGGGAGCTGTTGTCACTGCTGGAGATGCTGCCTAAGTCGCAACAGGGACCTCCCCTCTTGGCTCTGGGCTGACCTGAGTCAAGGAAGTGATCCGGTTTGCGAAGGCAATTAAAATGTCTCGTTAAAGCTACGTCACCTAATTGCGCAGCTTCCCAAGCCCCGGGCACTGCTGTCGCGCGTAACACGGTGCTGCCCACATTGCCGACAACTCAGGATTTCCAACTAACGCTCGATATTTGAGTGTGATCCTAATCCAGAAAACCTAGACAAGTCAAAGACAGTTGTAAGCCACGAGGTAACAAAGTGCCTGCTGTTGGAAATTGCTCTTTGGGAAACTATTTCTGTGGATTTGCAAAAGATTATGAAGTGTTTCGCTTAGCTGGGACTTTGGAGCGAACAAAGGTTCACTTTGAGAGGAAAGGTCTACTGTTTTTATTTATCTTTAGCTGCATATTGCTTAAGACAGTTGACCATAAGTCATCTTTTGTTCTCCCCGTGGTGAAATTGTAAGGGAAGTAGCTCTAGGTGCAGAGTTGTAGACTGCAGAGATTCATCTGGCTGGTTGGTTATTTGAGAAAGGGATTTTATAGCTGTAAATAAAAACATTTTTTTATTTGCATGTAGGAGATACTGTTTTTTATTCTGTCTAGGTTGCTAAGCTGTCTTTGCAAGTTTAGGTTCTACAGTGCAACTGTAAATACTTTGCATGGGTGCATAATTGCTTAATGTAATCAATTTTTTTTGCAAACAGTGGCCTCATTAAGTAGACAATACAGTATTGTAAAGACAGAGTAGAAGCTGAATAAGCTCAGTAGATTTGTATTTTTTTTAATCTCCCATGCTTTATTTTTAAGAAATATCCGATTTACAGTTTTAGGCTTACATCACGGTCAGCCAGTTGCATTGCTGATTATCCAACTCCCATCCTCTGTCATTAAAATCATTTTGATTCCCTGGATGGCTTCATTCCTGTAATGCTGGAGGCTGCTCATCTCAACCTGGAAGGAAGGCCCCTGTTTTTCTACAGTACCGATATTCTGAGAGATTTTTTTCCCATTAGATTTTTTAAATTCTTATTTACTTCAATGTTTTTTTCAAAACACTTGTCCTTGTCAGTGCTCATGTTTAATGAGACGTGCTCAAGAAATTGAAGGCTAGAAGGGGCTGCTTAGTCTGACCCCTATCTCATGGGCTGTTAATTTATACATTGGTTGTGTAAGTAGTCCAAAGCTTGGGTTTGGGGGGAAAAAAAACCCATGCCATTCTTATGCCATTCGGTGCGATGGAGGGGGTGACTTAATAGATGGCTCTTACTGAATTTTACTTGTCTTCACCTTTGACAGAGATAATTTGTTTTCTTATGCTGGCAAATGACTTCTCTGTTGAGGTTTGGGAGTTTTATTAATTTCCGTTTCCAATATGGTGAGCTGAACTTATTTAGTGAGGGGACTTTTGTGCATCGGGAGTTGAGGAAGAAGATGGAAGAGTTAATAGAGAGGGGCCTTCTTTTCTGTTGAGTGAACTATAAGCTTATTTTAGTCCCAATTTCATAGAAATGCTGTCTTGGATAGATCTTTGTGTCTTGATCTGAAGACTTGGAGTTGTGCAATCTACTGTTGGGACAGTTAGGGGGTGGATTTTTCCTTTCAGTACAGCTACAGAAGTATGTTTTCATCATGGTTTAATCTGTCTGCCCTGGTGTTGTGAGGTTACAGCTTGAAGCCATTAGTTTGTGGTCATATTCTTTGCTCATCTAAGTTTCTTTGGAATATCTGGATCCTTCTCTAGCTTGGGAAGTGTGGGTTAGATGAGTGGACAGTCAAGTGGATTGAGAACTGGCTGGATGGCAGAGCTCAGAGGGTGTTGATAACTGCGGCCCAGTTTAGTTGGAGGCCTGTGGGCAATGGTGTTGACAGAGATCAGTACTGGGCCCAGTGCTGTTTGACTTGTTCATCAATGACTTGGACGAGGGCACAGAGTGCACCCTGAGCAAGTTTGCGGATGATTCCAAGCTGGGTGGAGTGGCCGACACTCCGGAGGGCTGTGCTGCCATCCAGAGGGACCTGGACAGGCTGGTGAGTTGGGCAGAGAGGAACCTCATGAAGTTTAATGAGGACAAATGCAGGTTGCTGCACCTGGGGAGGAATACCCTGGGCACCAGGACAGATTAGGGGTTGACCTGCTGGAAAGCACCTCCACGGAGAGGGACCTGGGAGTCCTGGTTGACACCAAGTTAACCATGAGTGAGCAGTGTGCCCTCGTGGCCAAGAAGGCCAATGGGATACTGGCTGCATCAGGTGGAGTGTTGCCAGCAGGACAGGGAGGGGATCCTGCCCCTCTGCTCAGCTCTTGGTGCAGTTCTGGGCTCCCCAGGACAAGAGGGATGTGGAGCTTCTAGGGAGGGTCCAGCGGAGAGTGACAACAATGATTAAGGGACTGGAGCATCAATTGTATGAGGAAAGACTAAACGAGCTGGGTCTGTTTAGTAAGAGAAGACTGAGAGGAGATCTGGTCGATATGTGTAAGTATCTGAAGGGAGAATGCAGGAAGAATGGGGCCAAGCTCTTCTTGGTGGTGACCAGTGACAGGACAAGGGGTAATGGGTACAAGTTGAAACAGACGAAATTTCATCTCCATATGAGGAAGAACTTCGCTGTGAGGGTGACAGAGCCCTTAACTAGGCTGCCCAGGGAGGTTGTGGAGTCTCCTCTGGAGGTCTTCAAGACCTGCCTGGCGCAACGAGTGCCCCATGCTCTAGGTGTCCCTGCTGGAGCAGGGGGGTTGGACTAGATGATCTGAAGAGGTCCCTTCCAACCTCAACCCTTCCGTGCTTCTCATTTTTGAAAATAGTCATGTGGAGGCCCACTCTGATGGGAGCCTCAATACGCCACATAGATCTTTTGATTTTCTCTTCCTGTTGTGTAACTTCAGCTATGTTAAAAGAAACATAGCTCACTGTTATTTTGGTCATATTTTCATATCTAGCAGCATTTTTTTTATATTATCAGTGGAAAATATTGAGTAGAATTGAATATAGTAACAAGGACAGTCAATGAAACACTATAGTTTATGCTAAAAATGCATCTTAGTTTAATTCTTCGTTCATCTTTGTTTATCATGAGCTCCATTTATGTACTAGTTTCAATTTTGGGGCTGGCATGTAGTAAGTTAAATCTTTTAAAAGATCTAGAATGTCTATGCAGTTACTTCAGTTGCCCAAATAATCTCTTAAAGGAGATTGAGTATTAAAGACATACTTTTGTAATGTGTCGAAGAGCATTAGCTCTATTGAAATGATGAATTCTTTTTTTTTTTTTTTTTGCCTTTTTTTGTCTGAGATTGTCCTATCTTCCTAACTCAATTTGCCTCTTGCATTCCAGTACAACAAATAATCTCACAGGCTTTGGGGATTTCTATTTCTCTAGCAGTTTTATTAAAAGAAGTCAGTGGTGGGCCAGAGTGCTGGGAAGTATTTTCTTTGTTTTTGTGTATTTACTTAATTACTGATAGTCTTATGTTGAGGAGATTTGTGACCGTTTCCTAGTTCTGACTTGGCTCTGAGTTCTTCTGAAACCATTCCTGTTACGTAGCATCTTCTACCCTGAAATAAAGGACTAAGTAAGCTCACTCTTTGGGATGTGTGACATGTCTTTTGTGCCCCAGTTCTCTGTTTAATATTACAGCGAATGCAAAGCAATTGCTGTTTGTTAATGTTGAGTCATTGCTGGAACTGTTTGAGTTCGGTAAGTATGAACAAATACTGTGTACTGATGAAAGCGACCTGGTCGCTACTGACTTGGAATATCTGCTGCTGCCTTCTAGAAGTGCTTGAGATATTTTTATTCTTTTGCCCCAAGCGTTATCTCTATACTTTAACCAGCTCTGAAAGAGATGTATCCTTTTGCAGGAATAATATTTAGCATCAGTCTCTGTTTTGAAATTGGGCTCACTATTTGTAGGTATTTCCTCTGTAGTCCTAAAGAACTACAACATCCAGTTACTGCAGTGGGAATTATTATTGATAATATTATGAAAATATTATTGATATTTAGCTGTTTTGAGAAGCTGGCAGGTGTGCTTTTCCCTGTGGGATGATGAAACTTCACTTTAACTCCCTTTCTATTCATATGACCCCATGTCGCTTTAGGGTATTTTTTTTTGTGTATGTTATCCAAGGCACTAGTTCTTGAATTATAGTTCTTATTTCAAATCACTGTCATCACACATTGGGACGTGTGTGTTCTGATGTATTTACCAGTACTAAATATTATCTCAAGAAGGCTTTCCTTTTCTTTCAGTGAAGGAAAATAGGTATTAAGCAGTTGTCCCAAAGCTTAGGTAACTAGGAACATGATTCTGTTGCTCCCCATTTACTGGAAAGATATAATGGAAGGAGTGTCATGAGCAGGATGCTTTGCGAGTTCTTAACCACTCTTGAAAAGGTTTTAAGTGGGTTTGGCTTGTGCTTTCACTCCTCTTCTTCAAAGTGGGGGGGTTTACAAGAGCTCTGGGCCTATTTGGCTGCTGAAGCAGCCTCTATCACCTCTGTGCAGCACAGCCCAGTTCAGTGTGGACTGTGTGTGGCCCGTGGCCTCAGCCTTGCCCAGAGGATGTGGCCTCCTGAGCTGTCCGGTCCTTGTGGAGGTGGGCAAGAGCTTTGTGGACAATGTGCCCAACCGGTCTGGAAGGAGGGCTCTAGAGCAGCCCTCTGCTCACTGCCCTCCCAGGACCTGTGCAATGGCAGGGCCCACGTGCTGCATTCTGACATGAAGGCCAGGGAAGGGAAGACACAGTAAGAAAATAACTGCACAGCAGTGATCATACGGTAGGGCTTGAATTACATTTTAAAAAGCAAATCTGCTTTTTGATTGCTACTGATTTTCTAAGGTCCAGCTCTTAAAATCTGTTGTTTTGTTTTTTCCCAGCGAACTTGATGACGACTTGCTCGGGGAGGATTTGCTAACTGGCAAGAAGGTGAGAGAGGCACGCGCTAAAATGAGTTATTGTTCCGTGCAGGTGCCCTCCGTCTGCTCCGCGGGAGCTGTTTGCCCCAACCTGCTCCGTGCTGGGACAAGGTCGGCCCAGCCGCATGGCCCCATCACTCAGGAGCCCCTTGAGTGTGTGCGGGCAGCCCTGCTGGGCTCTGCTCTGCACCCAGACTCAGCTGTCTTTGGGAAGCACCTCCAAACCTGGCCTTTTTTTTTTTTCTTTTTTCTTTCTTTTTTTTTTTTTAATTTCTAAGATGATCGTTTCTAAGGTGGGCTTTCCTTTCTTGTAACACCTCGTTACAAGAGTTGATTTTCTAAACCGTTTTCTCTGTAGCTCATATTGACTTGAGCATAAAAAAGAACAAAACAAACAGAAGATTTTGGCTGTTTCCTGCCTATTCAAAGCTTCTCATCAAAATACTAGGAAAAAACAGGCACAAGATACCTTAGGATCCTGCCCTAAGAAAGGGATGTGGCAGGAACTGAGGTTGGGCAATCCCCTTGTGATGCTACAGACCTCTCAATTGGAGATACCTATAGGCAAAGCTGAGTTGTGTGAGAGTGCTCAGGGTGCGTTGAGTTTGCAGGAGGAGAAGGGACTCTGGCATCAGCTCCCATCTCTTAGATCAATTTTTGTTATTTATTTGTCTGATATGTTGCATATTTTTGAATTTTTTTCTCTGTTCTTAATTTAAGCTTTCCATGGTGTAGGGCTCTTGCCAGTATTTGTGGGTATGGAGTCCTATGAATAATAATGTTTCCCCTGAGCTAAAAAGCCTAAGTTTGCTTCTACCTAATCTCATCCAAGTACTTTTAGACAAATCTACCCTTGTGTAACCTTTCTGCCCATATTGCTTTAGGGGATGGAAATAATGTAGCTGAAAAAACTATGCAGTCATCTCTTCCTAGTGAGTAATTACTAAAAGGCGGGGGGCAAGTAAATATAAATGAAGTAACTGAAGTTAAGATTGATAAATTAGGAGTTTGTCAATGTTTTAATTTCATGATTCCCTTCCTCCAGACACTTAGCAGGCTCTGCCCCTAGAAGCTACAGAAACCTGGTGTATTTTGTTGACCTCACTAATGCTTCAAGGTCCCAAGGCAGTTCAATGCAATGGCACAGGGATAACCTTTCTATATCCTAGTATTTCTTCTAAGTCATCAGTTTTGGATGTATCTGGGCATGAGCCAGTGACATGTTTGAAAACTAAGCATATTTGAATGTTGGCAATTTCTATGAGACTGTCAGCTATTTCACATTTGTTGAGCAGTACACTCAGATGTTTAGCATCTGATTCTGTTATCTGTTACCAATAATTATGTAATTTCACTGAAAATGTGGCCTCCGTCTAGAATTTTTTCATCAGAAAAAGACTGCTCACTATTCAAAGCTATCAGGAGTTCAGGAGTTAGTTAATATTTTGTGTCTTTCTTTGTTCATGATTGACTTTTTTATTAAAATCTAGAATCAATCAGACTTATCTGATGAAGAACTGAATGATGATCTTCTGCAAAGTGACAATGAAGAGGAACCAGATTTTGGGTATATTTTTTCTAAATCTTATTAAGAATTTTTGGAGAGTGTATGCAAAGCTATTGCCGCTACTATTGCTGCTAAATATTTCCCCCCGTGGTTATGTTTCTAGACTCCTGGGGTTTTGTAAACATGAGACCAATTTATTAAAACTTTCTATGCCAAACAGGACCCAAACCAGTTTTCCAAACTGAAGTTGTTGATATATCCTTAAAATTGTTTTGCTTTTAACCTGCTCAGCTACCTAATATTGTGTCTGTGTAGTATGTTCAGTAGCATTATTAACATTCCAGCAAAACGATTTTTTTTTGAATTTAATAAAATGAGCGTAACCAGAAGCTATAAAACTGCAGATAAAGAAGAAATTACACTATCTCCTCTGCTTATTAGTGATTTATCAATACTTGGCAGAGATCTTGCTCTGTTCATGCTCCATGGCCTTGTAGGCTTTCCTTGCCTCTAAACTCCTTTTGCCTCTATCTTGCCTTAAAAAAATGTGCTTTATCTTAAGTTGCAGCTTAAGTATTTGCATGCACTGCACAGCAGCACAGTTCCTCCAGAGGCTGTAGGGTTGCACGGTGTTTCCGTCACAATTTGGAAATCCTGTCCTGAGAGTGCTCGGGGGTGACACAGGTGCTGAATTCTGGGCTGCTTAAGTAGAAAGGAGAGTCTTGGTGTTTTTAGGACTCCCACTGGAGTGAAGGGGGAAGGTGGTTGTGGAGCAGGAGCGACGCAGTGCTGCTGTTTTTAATTAATTGCTTGTTACATGGTACTCTGAGAGTAGAGCCCAAAGAAGGTTATTTGTGGTTCTCTATGGCCATCTCTTCATCTTTGACATGGATTTGGAAGTGGAGATGCCTTCCTGTGCTGGAGAGATCAGGGTGGGCTGAGATTCCTGGCAGGAATGAGGGCAGGACCATTTCCGTCAAAATAGAGAATCCCAGTTGCCGTGCTTGCTGTGATATTACTCCCTGAAAGCAGGGTTTTGTTTGACCTTGTATTTTTAGCAGTTTTAATGCCAGGGAGCCAGCTCCTTGCTCCTCTCCTGTTTCTCCTGCCTCTTCTTCCCTTTAAATCTTGTTTGTGTTGCACAGATGAGAGGATAATAATAATAATCCTTAATATTTTGGTTTTCTTGTTAATTCTTCTCATTTGATAGATCCAGCTGCCTGGATCTTGTGCTCATGCCCAAATTTTCCAAACTTTTATGAAAATAATGAGTAATGGGGATGTAATTCAGATAAAATATTGTTTTCCTTATTTGCAAAGACCTTCCCCTCCATCCCCAGCCCCAAGCCTGCAGTCTCATAACTAGTCTGCAGTTGCCAGTTCACTCTTCTATTTGATGATGAGTGTAGCTGTCCTAAGCAGCAAATCCTGAATTTTGCTTTTCCTGGAAATGATGCTTTCCAGTTTTAAAGCTCCTTTGCCCTTTTTTCAAATTTTGTGCTTGCTTGTTGTGTTACTAGAATAAATCTTACAGATTTAAATAATAGTTCATGACTGTATGCATTGTAGATTATTTTTAGTAAGGTAAGTCTTAAAAGTTGTAAGCTTCAATTAAAGACAATCAAGAAGGATAAGTAGTAATGATTTTATATATATATATATATATATATATATATATATATAAAAGGTTTAATAGGTTATTTTGAGAGGTTGGGAAAACGGATGCAGTTATAGCAATTTTGTGTAATTTTGTTAGTCTTGGCGTTAAAATTGACTCTTCTTCTTTGGTTACTAAGCGGGACTTCTGCCAGTGTGACCCATTGGACCATCTGGTTGGTTTGATCCCCTTGGTCAAATAGGCTGCAGCTGGTGATAAGCTGTGGTACAGTGTGCGCTACGAGCACCTGGCATGGAGTCAGCACACGAGCTATAATTTTTTGTCTGCCAACTTAGAAAATATGTATCTGTTGGCTGCTTTGCTCAGTCTTCATAAGGCCCTTGACCATTATGCTGCAGTCTTTGAGTCTTTTTCTCCTCTGTTGTAGTTCTCAAGCTGTCACCATTAGCCTCAACACCACATCTGGCCTGCTTACGTCCTACGAGCTCTCGGAGACCATGAACGATCGATCCATCGAACACGAGTCCGAATATGACCAAGGAGAAGGTGAACTGGTGTATGGCAAATCAGAAGCACCTGGAGTTTATGCTTCAGAGTATGCAGAGGAGGGACATTATGAAGGCAACGATCCTGAACTGTCAGAAGACCAAATAGAATATGGGGAAGAGCCTGGAGAAGAAGATGAAGTGCTAGACCTTGAAATCAATGAACCTCTAGATGAATTTCCAGTGAGCTTCCTTCTATTGTATCTTCAAAGATAACATTGCTTCACGTGCATAGGGTTTTAGACTGATTGGAAATCTGTTTACCTCCCTAGGGAGGAGGGAAAATTAGACCTATTATCACTGTCTGCCAGTTTCTTTATCTAGGCTGTGACAAAGTTTGTGTTGACAGCTTGTTTGGCGGTAGGTAACGCTCCTTTGTCATGCTGGAAGGCAGTTGAGAATCATGACCTTGAGGATTGTATGCTTAAGGAAGAAAACAGCTTTGTGTGGTGGAGATACAGTGCCAATTGTTAGAAGTACTTAATGCAAAAGCTTTTATCCAGGCTTTAGACAAGATCTGATAAAGTCCTTCGAAGGTGAAAAGATTATTGACCTGCTAAAGACATCTTTAAGGTGCTAATATTCCAAAGTGATTGATGTCCTGCTCGTTCATCCTTTTTGTAACTGAGAACTGTCTAAACCTGAATAAAGAGATTGGAGGTTAGTTCAGAAAATGTCACATGCATAATTTGATATAATTTAAGCAATGTATTAAAGAACATGCGCTGCCTTTAATTGCTAGCTAAGTGATTTAATCTCGGTTGGAACTGGATGTGTTCAGTGAATTGTTTACTAAATAAGTTTGCTGATTTTTTTAAAAAAGTTTTTGCACTACATGTTTATTCATTTATATAGAATAAACTAGCTTATATATAACTAACTACAGAATGTATTAGAATATTTATATTTTTAAAAGATAAAACCTGGTGTTAATGTATGTGATTTGTAGACACATTTCCTTCAGTGAGCAATTACTGCAGTCTTTGGTTCATTGAATTTGTAATCAAAGGATGCAGCTCTCCAGACATAACTGGGACCTTTATGATGGCATTGTTGGAGTCTGGATGAAAGCTGTTTTGGTTGTGTTTTCAGTAAGAGTGAAATTAGTGTGACTAGTTAAAACCCCTGATAATTACATCTTATATGATCTGTCACTTATAATTGACACTTCTGATGGATGCAATACTCTCTGATAACAACAGCAGTAACATGGATGTGTACAGAGTCTGGACCTTTAGCAGGCATTAGGTTTTCTTGCTAGAGTTTGAGTATGTCTTTTTACCATCTCGTGTTCTTATTGCAGGATGAAGATTACATGCAGTCATATAATGAGCAAGCAATGGAGGAGCAAGAAGATTATCCAGCTGATGAGGAACTAGAAGATTCCCAGGCAATGGCAAATGAATCAGAAGAGGTATGTTGTGAGCTTAATAGAAACTTCAAATACCAGTTGTTTCAGAATTTGAAGTTTGGAATTTATCTGTGTTGCTAGGTAAGATCTGGTACAACTCTATACAACTTCACCAATGTTGAATTATTTTTGATGTTAATTTTTCTGTGAGACAAACGGATTAGTATCCCTGTTTGTCAGTTAAATTTTTCTCTCTGTCTGTCTCTCTTTTTTGTCATTTCCCCATTCCCCACCTTTGGGCAACTCTCTTATAAAGGAGAATTCAAAATGTCCATATTTTAACTTAGTTTTAACCCTAGAAGCTTCAGAGTCTCCTCTGGGCAGAAGATGTCTGAGTTGTCTTGTAAAAGCCCTTTTATCTATAATGTGCCACTTTCCAGATAGATAATTTGTTATTACATGTACAGTATTAACTCTGCAGATGTAGTTCTCAAGTGAGCTAGAATCTCATTTTATGAAGGAGTGTGAGCACCAAAGCTTTGATATGTCAAAAAGATCAGCTAGCTTTGAAAAAATTATGTATGGAAATTTCCATGAAGTTTATTTGTGATCTTTCATTAGGAGAGAGGGTGAGTTCCATCATTCCCAAGCAGAAGGCTCATGTCAAAAACTAACAAGGGTGTGTTCACTAGTCGTAGCTTGGAACAATCCTCTTATATGTGTTCTCCCTTTGCAACAAATTCTTGTTTTGGAAGGTAAAGGTGTTTTTTTTTTTTTTTTTTTCTTTTCTCCACTAGGTATCTGTTTTAATATTACTTTTATTCCAGTTCTTAATTGTAGGAGCGAGTAGAATATCTGCTGAGAAGCATAGGCAGATTCTGTTCTTTGGAACCTTAACTCATCAGGAAATTAATTCCTCAAAGACCCAGCAGTGCTCTATGAAGTTCCAGCAAATAGATGTGCTGTGGTACTCCTTACTTGTAGAAAGCGTTATAGTGACACAATGCTCTTTGCTAACAGGGACACCTTGACAGGGGCCACCTTTGCTGTCCAGTCCTTTGCTGTGCAATACATAATTCTATATGAAATACATCTAAAAGTTTCCTACTTCCTAATTATTAAATCTAGCTTGCAAAGCAAACAAAAGATCGTAAAAGAAATGCTCATTGGTCGTTCACTGAGTTGTAAGCACCTTCCTGCTGGTGGTTTGAAGCAATTGGGTTATCTGCAACCACAGTCTCTAGGGAATGGTGAAAGCCAGGACAACATCTAACTGTACATAGCTTGTCAGTATTTCCAGTTAAGGAAATCCAGCTAACTTTTAGAATATAAACTAGTCCAAATTCTGTAACCAACATACTTTCTACAATTGTCTTATAATTCTCAGAATTAAATTCTTTTTGTTCAAAAGAGAGCAAGAATGCAGTTCTTTTTTATTTTGACTTTCCTAGGAGAGCTGTTAGAGGAGTTGTTTATTGCAGAGTATTTGGCCACATTATTAATTTATTCTGTGTTCCAGCTTTGTTCACATGGCTTGGAGGTTGCCACAGGTTTCTTGCTTCTGAAACAGTAGGATCTTTTCACTCCTAGTATAAAGTTAATTTGGGAGACCAATTGCTAGCATTTTGACCAAACGCACTCTGGAGCTTGAAGAAAAGCTGTAGTAGAGATTCAGAACATACTTCTGTCTTCATAAGGTACAAATTAAAATCCAGTAGGCAGAAATTTCAGCATCAGACAGGTGTGGTAGAACTGCCACTTACCTGAGCATGCGGTGTCCTAAATACTTTGAGGATAATAACACTAATTATTTCCACTGATTATTTCTACTAATCCTGAGAGTGAGACCTCCTGAAATTAGAATTTATGTTTTCTTGGTTGGTTTGCTATCAGAACTAATCTTCTGTGAAGTCTCCAGTTTTTCTTGAAAGATGGAAGGTTTCTCGTTGCATTGATTAGAACTTAATTTGAGCTGTCTTGGTGTAAGCTGATAAGAAACAAAGAACCTTCATCAAGAATATAATTCAATGTACTACATACATATGTACATATTGGCTTGTTTTCCCCTAAGTTCATATTCTCTCAAAGAAAACAAGTGGTTTCTGTGAGATTGTTCTAGTTGAGCTTACCTAAAAGACAAATTTTAGTTTTTATCCAATTCTGCAGACTTTTTTTGTAAACCTAAAGAAAATGGCGAGTATGAATTGTAGTAGTTAGATTTTAAGTGTATTTTTAAAAATACTTGGAAACTTTCAGTATTTCTATCCCTGCTTTTTATCCTTTAAAGGTGCAGGTGCTTTTGACATAGGTGTGATACCCTTTTTATCAGCTCTGTTATTTCTTGATCCCCAAGGCTGCTGCCTTGGTGTTTGCTTGTGGTAGAAGCCTCCATTGCTTCTTCACTTGAATAAAATGCGTTTGTGTCTCCTTCTTGATACCTTCTGTGAAAGGGATCTGTTTTAGCCTTTGGAAAACTTACTTGCCTTGCACATCTTACTCTCTCTTCCCAAAAGCCCTTGAATGGAAACGCTTGAAAATGTCTAGGATACAAGATGACAGGTTTTGAGACTGACTAGTGTTTTCTCATGCTTTCCTTGGGCTTTTTCTGTCTGTTTTTCTTACAACTGCATGGGAAGGAGTGCTCTAGGGCAGGAACACAGATTAACCCTGGGAGGGGACCTCTGGACAGTGGCTGGGATTTATGGCATAATTGCTTTTAATGACTTAGTGAGCATGGCAGGAACTCTGACCCTGTGGTGGGAGTTAGGTCAGTATTTTTCTTCACAGTGAAAAATCAGCCAGGCTTTTTAGTAGCTTTGTGCAAGGTGTCATAAAGGGAAATGTTAAACTACCTTTGAGGAGAGTGGAAGAAGCCTCGTCAGAAAAGTCAAGTGACTTCAAGGGCTGTGCATTTATCTATATAGCTATATAGTTTGATATAGTAAAGTCTGTGCAAAGAAATAAAGGTTAAAAAAAAAAAAAAAAAAACTTTAAGACTTACATTTTAAAACTTTGGCTATATCTTTAGCTATACCTTGAAGCATTTTTAACAGGTCTGATTGTACAATGATTAAGCTTAAATGTGTGCTTGCATTGGATGAAATACATCCGAGATAAGGAGGAGATTTTCAATTGAAAATGACCTGGGATAACTAAGTACCGAGATCACTTTTTCACCACACCAAAGCTGTCTGTTCTCCTTCTTTTACTTGCAAAGCACTAGCTTGAGCTTCACTTGTTATGCTGCTCCTGAAGTAGAAATCATCGTGCAAGATCCTTTGCTAATCTTGGCATTTCTTTTTGTTTTCGGATGAAGTTGGCATCTGAGATAAAGAAATTTGCGATCTCTAGCACCATCCTGCCATTAAATCATTGTCTTCGTGTTTGACTTAGTATCTGTCCATCTGATTGACACACTTGGTGATGCCTTTTTCGTGTAAATTGCTGCACCACTCTGGTTCATTAGGAGATGAAACCATTTCCTGCATGTTGTATTTCACTCGTGTCTTTTCTTTCTCTCGTCAAGCAGCATACAAGTTGTGATACATTTAATGGCTGTGCCAGGAATTAAAATGCATGTGTAGTCTAAGAAATCAGCCAGTAGGCTTCTAGTGCATCTTTGTGAAGCAAAAAAAAAAAAAGAAAAAACCTAAATCTATAGTAACCAAATATTTTATGGAAAATCATACTATATTAGAAATTTTCTAATTTTCAACTCCAGCAATCAAATATGACTTGTGTAACATCATGCCAGCAGAGGAAAATGAAATTAATTTTTTTGTTTAATTTGGAGGAGAGGAATCCATTTTCATTTGGGACATTGTTTCATCTAAATAAGTGTTCTCTGCTGTAGAGAGACCCGGAATGTAAATGAGGACAAAGGAGCAGCATTCCAATATACACATTTAGTTTATTCAAATTTTATGTAATTCGGTTCCACATGCTCTTCATCAGCTACTGAATTAAAACAGGGGAATATTTGAGGAGGAGAAAAAGTAGAGATTGTGCTTTTCTAGGAGGATGTAATTGAGAAATCTGAGGTTGTCTATATTTTTTTATAACAATGGCAGTTGTTGCCAGTCATTTATTTTGAGGATCAAGATTACTGGAATCTACTAATACTCAGTATCCTGATATCTTAGTCAATCCTGGAATGTTAATCCATTCCCCAAAGTAGTTGCTATTTAGATGATGGTTCTAACAAAACATTTCTTATCCCCTTAAATATTGCAGTATGTTGTGCTTGTAGCTGTTCAAAATTTATGCTTAATGTCTATGTATTTAAAACATCCTTAAACCCTTAATACTCATTGATCTTTATTTTCCAAGGTATGTAAAAGAATTAATGCGTACTACTAGAAAAACTCGTATACAGGGACCGTAAAGTCTTGTCTTCTAAGTCTTATTGTTGATGAAAAACTCAACTTCTCAGTATTCGTGTTTGCTCTGTTTTGTGTTTCAGGCAGCTATTGAATCCCTGGAGCTTCAGGAAGAGACTAAAGAAGAATCTGATGAAGAGGAGGATGACGATGAAGAGTCTGGACGACTACGTTTCAAAACGGAGCGGAAAGAAGGAACAATAATTAGGCTATCAGACGTGACAAGAGAGAGGAGAAACATTCCAGAAACTTTGGGTGAGGTTCTGTGGCAATGGACTGCTTTGAAGAGCTGTGATAGAAGGAATGGAAAGGCTCACTCGCCAAAACTTAGTGTTCTTAAACATTTTTCTGACAATAGAATAGAAGTCTTTTGACTTAGACTGGCCTGTACCAAAATTGCCCATGTAAACTAGTAAACTACCATCTCTAAACTGATATCTGGAGTTTCATCTCCTTGGATAATGTCTAAATATATAGTATTTTGAAAACCAGGGTAGTATTTGATCATTGAAACCTTTCTTCATCTGTGCAAATGCATTTAGTGGAGGTTAGAAAAGTATGGGAAACTCCTCTTCTGAGTTCAGCTTCTTGAGCATGAAGTGGTCTAGGTGTCTTATCCCAAACTTGCTCCTTTAGTGCCTAAAAGGATAAATTTTAGTCTTGTCTTAGTGGCAGAGCATGAGTGTGTTTGATTTCTAGGGAGGCTGTTCCGTGTCACTAATGCATTAAAGAGGCTGTTAGTTCCAGCAGATTTGCACCTTTCTTATTTGCCTTGTTTCAGTTTGTAAATAAAAATCATCTTGCCTCATGTTTTGACAGTTAATTTCAGGACTCCTCCTGTATCCTGGATACTCAAGTATCTAATACAGGATCCCTTTTATTTCTTTGGAGTGGACCAGCTACACTGCAGATAAGTGTATTGCCCATGTAACATACCTATTGCTCATGTAGGGTTTGCAGGGGTGATCACACTCATGGTGCTACAAGCAGGTAGCAGCCTGTGACAAGGAAGGACTGTTATGAGAGCAATACAGAGCATTTAAAAATGTATTAGTGAAGAAATTAAGATATAGGTGAGGATTTTAAAGTTTGCTTTCAGAAAAACATACCATTCTCCTGGATGTGCTACTGAACTGAAATATCAAGTCAAACCATGGAGGAAAAAGGTCAGATCTTTTACAGAGGCTCAGGGTATGCAAGGTATGAGTTAGCAAAGAGGGCAGGTTTTCAGATACTCTTTGTTAATTGCCAGATACTACTTGGAGAAGGAATTATTTTTTGATATTTATAGATTTGCCAGGCTACAGGAATATGAGCTCTCTTCATTCAGTATTGCTGCAAGATTGATGCCTCCCTTTGAGCAGGAGATACTCTCAGATTGGAAATTTAAGTGTCTGCGTAGCCTGAACTTGATGACTGCATGCTTCTGCCTTCTTTCCAGAAAATAATGCCTTTTGGACAGCAGAGAGTTTGGGAATTATATCCCACACGGGTAACTTGTGATGTAGCTCTAGGATGTTAAGTAAAAAAAGATGCAAATGTGGATGAATTTATAGACTTTTTTTTTAAACTCATATTTGGTAAAAATGCAAATGCATTTGTGAAATGATCTCTGTTCCTGTTGTTTCTCTGTGTTAATTTGTTATAAAGAGACCAAATAACTGATCTAGTGGAAAGTAAAACAGCAGGAAAAACAAAAATTGTCAAACAAGAGCCACCCACCAAACAAGAGCCAACTCATTTCTGAGATTAGAGCAAGTTTTTAAACCAAATAGAGCTGGTTTAAAGAAATGAGAGTTCATTGCAGAGCTACATCTGCTTACTTCAAAACCTGAACATAGTTGCAAAAATACTTAAGGAGGAATTAACATTTCAGTCCAAGTTACAAACGTAATTTCTATCCTGTCACATTTTGGTGACCTTTTGTGACAGCTTGTCTCTATTGGAGGAGTGCAGTCTTTCTTGCTGATTAAAGATGTCATTTGAAACCATTTTATTACCAGGGGTAGTGAAATTAATCTTGACACTTAGAGACACTAGAAAAATAATTGCTGATTCACTGCATTAACTGTGTGTGGGAGAGCAGCAGGGCGGGTTAGGAGAATTTTTAACCTGTTAAAAATGTGGAGGATTCTCATGGCTATAGCAGAGACCTTTCCTAAACATTTGCTTCTCCAAAATGATCTAACTAGTGGATCTGAAATTTAAAGGAGAGAGATATTGTAGGAAGACTGGGCAGTTGACTGCTGGAGACGGGATGTTTATCATCTTAGTGAAATATGTAGCTCTTCATCATCGAACTCTTCACTGAGTTGAGCTTGCACATCAATTTACTCGTTAAGGAGCAATAGGAAGAAGAATGGCCGGGCTTGACATAGCTCTAAAAAGTATTTTCTTTTGGTTAATAAAGAAAAATTCAGAAAGCCCCTTGCAGAGTGGTGAGAATGATCATCATATGCAGTAATACTTCTTGTTGTCCCCTGCCTAGATGATTTATGTTCGCTGTGATAACCAGCAGCTGAGACTTCAGGCAAAACTAGGAAATTAAAATGCATGCTCTGCTATTGCCCTGTTGCAGTGTGTGCAGAAGTGCATGGTATAATTGGGTTACAAGTCTGGATGATGGGGAAAAAGAAAAAAAGAGAAAAGAAAACATTTTCTGTTATATTCAATTTAGGTGGTGTATCTGTACATGCATATATGTAATTCTGTGTGTAGTTTTTTATAGAGAGAGAGATTTTATATGGCAGTTCTGGAATGTGGTTAAGTTGCAAATGTTTTTTTATATATATATTGAGGAAGCAACGTTAAGTGCTTGGGCTGTTTATGGGGAATGAGTTTGTTCTGCTGCATGAGTGTTCATTTTTGTGCTCTGTCTCTAAGGGTCCAAACCTGCAGTTCTCTCTTTAAGCATAATTCTTAATAATATCATTCTTAATAATAATAAGTTCTTAATAATAGGTGAACTTTATTGCCTGCAATGGCAAGTCATGGGGAAGTAGGCTTGATGTGTTAATGTAATATTGCATTCCTTTTTTCCTTAAGGAAAAAAAGGGTTTTAATGCGCTTCTGTGCTCATATGTGTCCTGTACGTGTCTGTCTGTACCTATCTGCAGTGATACTATAACGAATACATGAGGAATTCGAGATTTTTTTCAAAATTGAGTTGCTAAGAATTCTTTCTTTTTAGCAGAAAATCTTCATGTGTCTGTTGTGCCTATAAAGATGCAGCCTAGGAGGGCTGAGAACTACTGTTGGGAGCAGGAAAAGAATTTATTACCTTTTGTTTAAAGGAACTGAAATGTGCCTGACATGTCAAAAATCATTAGAGCAGGCTTTGACCTGGGTGTTGTCATCCTTTCCCTGAACTCCATCAGCTTAGCTCTCTGAAACTGTCTTGTTTGGTGCGACCCCTTCTTCTTCAGTTAGTTCTACTTGATGTCCTTCAAGTGCAGTAAAGACGCTGAGACTTGGACATCATCGTGTCTTGTAGGAATCCGAGCTCTGGCCTATCTGTTCTAGTCTGGAAGAAAACTTTCCGAATAGCCTTATGCCCAGAATTAGATTTGGAAAGGGTGTGGAGACCCTCAGGCCCCCTAGTCACAACACAGTAATACCTCATCTGAAGCCAGCAGGGAGCTGCCTGGCCCGAGTACCTCAGTCTGAAGCCAGTAGGGAGGGAGTTGCCAGACCCAAGTACCTCAGGCTGAAGCCAGGAGGGAGCTGCCAGACCCGCTCCCAGAGGGATCGGGAGGGAGCTGGGGCTCTTTCCCAAAGAGCAGTGGCAGCCCACGATGGCCTCTGCACTCGCACGCCCGTGGAGAAACACGGCTTGTGTGAGGTGAGGACACCCCAGAAGTCAGAGCCCTGGCTCCCCATTAAACCAACTTTTTTTAATCACGGGAGCTAAGCATGAGTGAAGGTGGTTGGCTGTGGCATCTGATGCTGTTGGTTACGTTGCATACAGGAACATTTGGCTTGGCTTTCCTCAGGAATCCCCAGTGTGCACGCTGCGTAGCGCCCCAAGGCTTTGGGGAGGGCAATTTCTCACCCCTTCTTGACTGCAAGAGGAGTTTACTTGTGCAGCCTGATGGTCTTGGGCTCTGCCGAGCTCCCTGGGCAGGTGCTGGGGCAAAGGCAGCATTTCATAGGAGTATCTGGCTCATGGGATTGTAAAGTCAGATATGACAACACTTAATTCCTATGTTGGAGAGGGGAGAGAAGAGGAAAAGGCAGTAGGGAAACTATCCGTGCTGTTCAGAAATAGAGAAATACGGTAGTTCTTGTGGATTTAGTCTTGGGTATTTGACAGCTTCAGAAAATAATTTTAAATTACATTTATTATCAAAAAGCCTTTGATTTCCATAGGCTTTGGTAGCATCTGATAATTGGCACACGCACATGTGTTGTCTGTGCAGCTCATGGTGCAGGTAGCGCCGACAGGCAAATAGGAAGAACTGCTGATGGGGAGATGTGCCCTTCCCAGCCTTGCAGGTGCTTCAGGCAACTCTCAACCTCAAAACCTAATTGAGCTCCCTTGCAAAGATGTTTAAAATGGTGGTTTGAGCAGCTTCAAGTGTTATGCTTCTAGTAAATTTTCTTAGTTGCCTGATAGCTGTAGATGGATATTTTTGATGGAAGGTGTTATAGCTAGGCTGGGACACTGTGCTAGTGTCTCCAGCTGCCTGAAGAAGGTGGTGAGATGCAAAGTATTTGTATTCTGCTCTTTAGATACAGCCATCACTTGTTGTATTAGCAGTAAAACCATTCTGCCCTAAAAAGTGGACTGTGCATGCAGGATCCTTTAGCACTAAGAAGAGTATTTTTCTTATGAATAGACGGAATTCTTGTGCCAGTTACCATTTATATGCGTTCAGAGTGTGTGTGTGTGTGTGTGTGTTTTCAGGACAGATTTTGCACAGCTAAATGCAGGGCCTCCTCGGAGCCTTTCCTGGTGGTTTTGCAGGCGCTTTCCATGCGCCACATAGCCTTTCAGTGCCTAAGTGAGATGTTATTTAAGATGTTGCAAACGTGAAAGGAGCCGCAGTCTCACCCGCAGCAAACAGGCGACTTTCAGCAGCAGAAATAACCTTTTTCTTTGGTGTTTGTTTCCCTCGGCTGCTACGTTCTGCCCGTTTTTTCCCTTTCGTCGGTGTCGAATGAAATGTTAACATGCCACCTAAAGGAGATCAAAGCGCCTGCACATGTTTGTGCTCCTCGCAGTGATGCTTCTGTAGCTCCAGTGATGTCTTTCACGGCTTTTTCTCGTGCCTCTTGAGCACGAGGCTTAATATTTCCCCCTTTTCCTCTCCCAACAGAGCTCTCCGCGGAGGCCAAAGCGGCGCTGCTGGAGTTTGAAGAGAGGGAGAGGCAGCTCAAGCAGGGCCGCTACGGCTCGAGGAGAGGAGGGCGCCGGGGAGGCTCCGTCCTGTGCCACGGCCTGGGCGACCAGCGGCGCGACAACGGCGACAGGGCGCGCATGAAGGAGCACCGGCCCGCGCTGCTGCCCAGCCAGCCCGCCCCCATGGTACCTTGTCAGCCTAAGTATTCCTGCTCCCAGGAATTCGGGGGGGGAGGGGGGGTAAACGTGTTCCGAGTTGTGAATCTCGATGAATTCCCTTTCCCCTTGAAAGTGGGAATGGGTCTCGATTGCTCTAATCTTCACAACTGGGAAGTTTTGAAGAAATTTCAGCGTAAACTTACACTTGCGGGGCAGGGTGGGCTCTGTGTAATGGGGTGATGAGTCTTGTTTCTGGCCTCAACTTGAGGAATCGCAAAGTCCACAAATGAAAAGTGAATTTTGATTCATACATGTATGAATTAGGCATATTTCTGCTTTGCAGCAGCAAAAAATGGAGCAATAGATTGATTCTTACGTTGAAGTTCTCTGTGTGGGATATGTAGGCATGTTTGTCCCAACTACTAACGCTAAATTAGTTGAAAGAAATGTGATTCTGTAGATTTTTTTCATTATCAAACTAAAATTTTTGGTGATACTTCAAAAAAAAATTCCGCCATATTAATCTGAAGGCAAATACAAACAGAAGAAGGTAAACGCAATTAGATAAATCAGTTTCTGCTGTCTTAGGACTTTACATGTAACATAAACCCAGTAGATGTCTGGTCAAGAGGTAGTCCACTAGTAGCCCACTTTTTTTAATCCTTCTTCACGTATACTGGAAGCTGGGGTTTGTGTGTGCTTTTGCAGGACAAGGTCATTGGTATTATACAACTTATTTCAGCAGTGGTAGCTCTAGGTGCTGGTCACCAGCAGGAGTCCATGGGCTCCTCCCCTGTTGACACCTGTGCAGTGGAGCCTTTCCTGCTTTTAAAACAGGAAAGGTGGAATCACATTTGTTTCCTTGGCAATCTTTGCTGCTCCATTTGAAATGTAACAGTTTCTGTGCTTCTCCCAGCATCTTCATACTCACACTTGGTAACTGCTTAGCTTTTATATGTGTGGCTGCTGAAAACAAACAGATAGGTCCCAAGTAGCTGAAAGGTTTGAACCTGTGTGGGACTTGGGTTGCGTCCTTCTTGAGAGGAACAGGACAAAGGGTCAAGACTGATTTTTTTTTTTTTTTTTTTTTTATTTTTTTGGTAATGTCTGTGAGTTCTTGAGAGAACAATTTTAGTATCAGTGAGGTCTTTTCTGATTTCTATCAAGTTTTTTCTTGAAGTTTTGTGATACCATTGGGGCTGCCATCTGAGAGAGGCTCCTGCACGCGGGAGGGAAGAGCTAGTGGTCCTGTGCTGGGGTTGAGGGCTGAGCTTCCTCTCGTGCACCACAGAGGCCTTAATGCCACTGATGGCAGCCTGCAGTGACACGTTCAGAGCCCTCATATGGGACTAGGGGGACACAGTGTGAAAGCTGGAGGGCCGAGCGCTGCCTTTGGTGACGTTCAGCCCGAGCATCCTGGTTGCTGCTGCTGGCTGGTAGCAGGTTCTGTCTCTTCCTTGCTCTTTGCCCTCACGTTAATGTCCTAAGTGTTCCTTTGCTTCTTGTGCTGATTGCTCTTAACAACTTCAGGGGATTTGGTGATAGGAGAAAGACCTTTTTTTCTTAAAATCTGGTCCTAGTAGTTTTTCAAAGGTGGCTTGGTTTTGTGCCACTTTATTTGTCAGTATATTTGAACTGTAAAGCATATTGACTTTATTCTTTTGTCTGACTTTAGACTCATTCACAGAGGTTAATTCCACCACACCAGCAACCTGTTAGGAGTCTGTTCCAGCAGCAGCAGCAGCAACCGCAGCAGCAGCAGCAACAGCCGCAACAACAGCAACAGCAGCAGCAGCAGCAACAGCAGCAACAGCAACAGTTACAATCTCTGCTTCCTTTACAGCATCAGCATCATTCTTCCCCTCCTCCAGGGCTACACATGCCCCCTCAGATAGAAACCCCTAGAATAATGATGACTCCACCGCCAGTGACACCTCAGCAACCGAAGAACATACATATAAACCCACATTTCAAGGGGACAGTAGTGACGCCTGTACAAGGTGAGCTTTCCGAACGCCTTCCCAGTCATTGGAGTGTGACTCATCTCTCTCTGTGCCAAGGATGCAGCAGTTTTTGTTTATCACGTAACGGGCTTGTGATTCAAGCTGCTATTCTTTTCCTTAAAACAAATATTTTGCCCCAAGTAAGATATAATGTAGTTGGATGGTGGCCAGCCCTTTTCATTTTAATGTCTTTGTTACTGTAATGGAAAACCTGCAAAATGAAGTAGAAGAAGAAATTGAAAAGGGTATGTGTTAAAAATAGCAGAAGTTGCTTTTCAGAATTAGGTAGGCAGTGCAGTTTATAATTTCCCACATCATTTTAGGCTCGTGCAAGCATTCCCAGAATGACCACCCACCTAGATCAGTGTGATGCACTGAGGCGCTCTCTGAACTGCCATTGCTGTGTGCAAGATACAAGCTGCCATCCTTATTTGACAAGACACATGCCTTCGGTTCTCCTTTCAGCACCACAGCTATGATTTATTTGATACAGACCTGAGAAGTACACACTTCTGTAACTTATTTAATGCCAGCACCCTTTGGGCTACACTTTTTAGGACAGCTGTCAGCAGAGCTGTTAACATTACTACTTATTTGGGAAGCGTGTAATCCCCAAGAGGATAAAAAAAGAAGGATGCCTGTATAACTCTGATCTGTGATTCTGGTTGGGACTAGACAGAATCGTGCCTGTATCTTACGTGTTTGTGTCTAGAAATATTTAGGTATGTATTTACATGTGAGTGTTAGATATTTTTCCCCACAAATCAGCAGAACTCCAAGCCACTTGCTTGATTTATTTGCCCAACCAAAGGTGGGAATTTGGCAGTCTGTTGCCAGTTGAGATAAATCTGTTAGGCTTCTCACAGATGGCTTCACAGTAGCGGTTTCCCAGAGATTATTTCACTTTTTCCTGTCGGATAAAATCAGTGCTTCCCACCAAATTATGCATGAGGACAGATTATCTGGAAGCAGTCCAGAAGTGCCTTTGGACTTGGATATAAACCTTCTGTGCATTTTTCTTAACATTCTGAAAGCAGTAGTTCTGGGTATCTCTTTTGTGAAGAGAAACAAAAATTGCTTTTAGACTTCTTTAGATGCCTCTCCTGCTGTTGATGTAATTACAGAATCACAGAATGGTTGAGGTTGGAAGGGACCTCTGGAGATCATTTAGCCCAACCCCCCTGCTCCAGCAGGGACACCCAGAGCACGGGGCACAGGGCGGCATCCAGGCGGGTTTGGAGACCTCCAGAGAAGGAGCCTCCCCAACCTCCCTGGGCAGCCTGTTCCAGGGCTCTGTCACCCTAACAGGGAAGAAGTTCTTCCTCATGTGGAGATGGAACTTTCTTAAATTCCTTCCTTAATTAACAAATCTCCTGCATGTAGGTGACCGAGTTTCCTCCTAACGCCAGTGATGGCTCCTGGGGGCTCATGCTTCTGCCTGGTTTCAGAAGTTTACTGATGTATTTTCACCGTGATATTTTATATCAGCATTTTTTCTTCATCTCATCATCAAGTGGCTGCCCCTTTGCCTCAGTCTTGCCATGCTCAGTGTTCCAGGGACCTCTCCAACATAGTATTTCTCTTGATTTTCCGTGCTTCCTTTTAATGGAGTTATTTACCTCTGCATCGTAGGATGTCTTCAGTAAAAATTTGTAATCTGTTTTTCAAAACTTCTGCCTTCTGCCATTGATTCTGTGAATGGCCACATGCAGGTGAGGAAGATGAGGTTGGAAGGGGCCTCTCTATTTGACCCCCCGCTCACTAGAGCAGACTGCCTTGGGCCATGCTCAGTCTTTAAGGATCTCCAAAATCTCTTTAAGGGCAACCTTCACACCCTCACAGCCCTCACAGTAAGCAATGTTTTTTTTTTTTTTTTTTCCATAATATGCAGGCAGAGTTTGCTGTGTTTTAGTCTGTGCAGGGCACCACTGAAGAGGTTCTGCCCCCTCCACTTCACACCTTCCCTTCAGGTACTTACTTGCACTGACAAGACTCTCTTCTCAGCCTTCTCTTGTCCAGGATGAACTGTCCCAGCTCTCTCGGCCCATTCTCCTGTGAGAAATGCTGTAGTCCATTACATTAGTGGTCATTTGTTGGACTTGCTCCATTAACTCTGTTGGTCTCTGTCATACTGGGGAGCCCAGAGCTGGAGTGAGGGCTCCAGGTGCAGCCTCAGCATGGCTGAGCAGAGGGGATGATCCCTGCCCATCCCTGCTGGCAAAACTGCTCTGAATGACACCCAGGAGGGACCATGGACCACCTTGGCCACAAGGACACGTTGCTGGCTTGTGGTCAGCTTGTCCACCAGGATTCCCAGGTCCTTCTATCCAGAACTGCTTTCCAGCAGGTCACCTGTGTTGGTGCCTGGGCTTATTCTTCTGTACGTGCAGGCCGCTTCATCTAGCTCATTGATGGTTAAGTTCAACAGGCTTAGACCCAGGACTGACTCCTGGGGTATTCTGCTAGTCACAGGCCTCCTGCTGGACTTGGTGCCACTCATCTCAGCCCTGTGAATTCATTCAGCCTTTTTTTGATCCACCTCCTTCATTTCTTGACTGATAAAAGTATAGTCATCCTATCAGCAGATGCACAGAATCATTTATGCATTTTTTTAATAGAAGAAATTTCTTTTTTTGATGAGAATCAGGTGCATTGAGGACAACTCGTTCACATGAAATACCTTAGTGCCCTCCATTTTACCAAAGGAATTGTCAGCAAGAATGATCTACTGAATGTTTTTACTAGTAGATGTGCATTGTAGCCTTAAATGCAGTCTTTTAAGTCACTGTAAAACTTGCATCTACTTTGTTTATTTGGGAACGTGTATGGGAGGCTCAGTCTTTTGCTGTGGCTGTGAGTAGGAGCCTTCTCAGTCCCTTGGTCTCTTAGCAGTAGAGATTCCTTACTTGAAAGTACCTGCATTTGCACCCCTAAGGAAAATGAGAGCAGGACCTTAGCAGGGAGAAGCACAATTTTGAAATCTTCAGTGATATTTGCATAGTAAAATGCATCATTAGGCCAATCTCTGCATATTCAGCATCAGTTACTGCAGGTAAGTGGGAAGCAAAAATGTCAGGGTAAGGAAAACTGCTCTAAACTCCTTGAGGAGGAGGAGGAAGAAAAAAAAAAAAACAAAACAAACAAACAAACAAAAAAAAACACACACAAAAAAAACCCAAAACTAAAAAAGACCCAAAAGACCAAAAATCCCTGCATTACTGCCTCAGAAAGAACTCCTGCTTAGATTAACGTCTCTGCTTGAGGCAGAACGTGGCAGTTGGCAACTGTTTGCCTTGCAGCATCATTTATTTTGGGGCTAAAGGAGGTGTGAAGGAGGTGGAACAGACCTCGTGTTTTTGGTAATTGAGCCCACATATATGGTCTCCATCAAGGCTGTTTGTTCTGACTCCAAATCCCGCAGTCTTACTTTCTTAATACCTTTCGGTTTGAGTTTACTTTTTATTGGATATACTATATCCATACCTCCTAAAGTAATCCTGGACCTCCTATAAATTGTCATGAAATTACCATTAGAATAAAGTATCATGTTTGAGACTTCTGGGAGCCAGTTGTTTTAGCCTGAAAGTGAGTTTGAGGCTCTCCTGAGCAGTCCTGTTACTGACTTATTCTCGTGATCACCTTCTCTGTCCAACTTCGATTCTTGGTTCAACAATTTCATTCTCCTAATTTCCACTCAAGTTTTTTTTACATTTTTTGAGACATCAGTTGTGACTAAGAGGGACTTAATCCATCAAAGACTCTGAAGTGGCTGTGTGAGCCTCTGTTCATAATTTCTTCAGGTTTTAGTGGTCAGCTATTAGCCTTTTGCAGGATTTGAATCCCATGTCTTTTAAATGCTCATCCATCATACAGTTTTCTTTTGTGTTCCTTTCTGTAAATTAGTCTTGTGTTATAAATGATAACTTGGAATGTAACACATCCAAATTGGAGTATGATGAACTGACATGCAGTAGGATCGCGGACGTATATACTAAATCAGTCATGGATTTTAGATATTGAGATTTTTTTTCCCCCTTAATTTCTCCCCCCTATATAACACAGGTAACTATTTAAAGAACATTTCAGATGTTGCCAGAGTCCCTAGTGAGCAGTTTGTGGCAGTTCAGTAAATGAGCGTGCTGTTTACCTCTAGAAAAAACCTATTGAGCATCTTGGGAAAAATGGCACTGTACTTTTTCTGAATGATTAGCATGGGAATTGCTTCATTTGTTCAGGTGTAGCCATAGTATTTGCAGCTCAGAGCAATGTAATCCTCCTAAACAGTGCCAAACAACGTGCTGCGTGGTGCTTTTGAAACACAGTTTTCAACATTGGGCAAGATTTGACATCAGGAAAGCAAAGGGTTATTTGCTGCTTCAGCAGGAGAGCCCTAGCATTGAAGGGAGATTGAGTTTGAACCATCATATTTCATGAATATTAAATTCATTTGTCTAAATATATATAATTATATATAAAACACATGAACAAATATAGGTCACTGCCAGAGGCAGCTTCCAAAATAGACACATGCAGGTTCTGTTCAGCTGATGTTTCTTTTTGTCCCCCCATGCGGTTTTTCTCAGTGCTTCTCTGACCTGTAACACCCGAACTATTTTAATTCCAGCTCCTTCAGGAACATGCTGTTTATCTTTCCAGCATGTTGTGGCTGTGCAATATAGATAGATGTTTCTTGGAGACTAAGATGAGGTGTTCAAGCAGTTTTTCATGTAGGCCGATGGTGAGTTTGTATGTAGCCCTTGCAGGGCACCAGGCTGCTGAGCTTGGTAGTTCCCATCTAAGCCAGTTCCCTGCTAAGCCAGGGATGGGAACTACAAAAATAACCAGGATTACATTAGTTCTTGTGCTTCCTTAATGAAGGAAAAAGGGTGTTTGAGGAATCTTTCCAAAGCGTTGGGAAGCGCAGCGAAGCTGGGGATTTGTTGGATGCGCTGCTTAGCGCCTTGGCTACTGCGAAGGGTAACGCAGTAGCTCTTGTCTAAGAGCTACTAATACTGATATTGGACCCTGTGCAGGGAACAGTTTTCCTGTTACTTTCAAAAATGCTCAAAACCAATTGGAGAAAAATACCCTAGCTAAAAATTTTTGAGAAACTGAAGAAACATATTTGGGCCTGTTTAATTGAAATGTCTTGCTGCTTTTCCAGGCCTTTCATTTATGTTGTAACATGAAAACATTTTTTAATAGTTTAGACAAAGAGAAAGGGCGGGAAGGGGAATGCCCTGAAAATTGGGAGTTCTGTCTTTACACTTTGTCACGTTGAGGCTTCAGAAAAAGCTATTGTCCTCAAGGCGATCCACCATTTGGGAGGGTGAGGGGGGCTCTTTTGGGTAACGTGCCTCCTGGTGTACAGTTATCCATAAATCAGCCATTCTCATCCCTCCAAAATCTCCATTTTGAACAAACTGTTTTCCTGAAGAAGACTTGCTGTTCTGCAGCTCTGAAATGGCAGCCCTAGTCATGTGGGACTGGCAGCTTGGTGATTGTGCCCAAGGTGGAAAGTTGGTGGAGAGCCTGGAGGGGACCTAGGAGAACCTGGGGGTGAACATGAGATAATCATTCGAGTCTCCACCAGCTTTGCCAAAGAGGAATCTTTGGCTGAGGCAATTCTAAATAGCTTTTATGAACCAAGAGGCCATTGAATTCTGGAAGATAAGGAATTAAATAGTGGGGATGGGTGAGGAGACCCCACACTGCCCTGTTGCTCCCTGGAGCGGATGGGGAGATGCCTGCTTAACGTGCAGACCATGCCAGGTGGGGACTAAATGTAGCTGCTTTTAATCACGGCTTCATAAGCAACTTCCTTTGGAAATAACAATGCCCATTAGGTGAAACAAATGGTGTTAAAAGGTGCTTCTTGTTTCAGTGCCCTTGCTGCCAGTTCCAGCCCAGCCAAGACCTGCCGTCGGACCCCAGAGATTTCCCGTGAGTAGCAGCTGTTTCTTCTTCTCGGAGATGGATAAGCATACATTTGCACAGAAATATTAATATAGCAAATAAAAGCTCTTCTAGTGAAATATAATTTTAAGGATTTGTAAATATTGACAATACACTGTGCAGTTTGGAAATGTTTGTTAAAAGCTTAAGGTCAATGGATTTCTGAGGGGAGAATTAATTCTGTTTAACTGTAAAATTGTTGAACCAATCCCTCCAGTGGGAGAAGCAGGAATGCATCTTGTCTTAAAGAACAGGGGCTTCATTTTATTACTGGAATCTTTCTGTATAAATAGAATCCTTATTTTATTTGATATAATAAAAGGCTATTTGAAAAAATCCCCCAGCTTAAAAAGCAGCATTTATCTCCTCTTGTGGAAATCAGCAGAATTTCATTTTGTCATTACTTCAGGTGCGTAAATGCCTTCATGTTTTTAATATCAGAAAGGGGGATGGTTTTGTATGACCTTGCTTTCTGGTGAGTCCCTAACTTCCCAAACACACACGGCACGAGGTTGCTTTCCCTTGATTTATTAATTCCATCTGTGAGTGGAGTGCACACGTTCGGGCTTTCTCAATATTTCACAAATATATTGTCTTTAAACTCTTAGTTTATGCGATTTCTAGAGCGTGAAAGTAAGCAAAAGAAAGTATTTTGTGCACTGTTACCTTAAGTCTTTTTTAAATGAGGACCCATATATTATTTTCCCCAAAGATATAAAATACACAGAAGTTCCCCTCTGTTAGTGTTTGCAGTGTGGAAGGGGGAAAGTGGATGTTTGTGAACATCTGTGTGGAGTCTCACAATAAATTACTCGGAGATCAAATGTATTGGAAAGAAGCAGATTTGGGGGACCTGCTGTGACTTTTATTTGCCATGTGCTATCTGATGCTTTTGAGATGCAGTGGTTTTCTCACAACACGTCTAGCTAAGGAGTTGTGATGTCCATAATTTGTGCAGTAGCTGAGCGTTTATATTAGTACCATATTTCTTCTATGAGGTTTAAAAATGTTAAAGACTGCAGTTACCTTAAGTAACTTACATTATTCTATTTAATCGACATCTTAAGTGGACATATTTTTGTGCTCAAATCTACTGTAGTTTTTGGAGGAAATAATATTCTTCACTTTAGAGAATTCTTTTTTATTATTTTTTAATGACAACATACATTTTTCAGCTCTTTAACATTGAAGTCCTTTACCAGTAACATGACTTGGGATTGAAAAGAAATTGGAAGACAAGGAATTATCTGTAAATCCGTTGTAATTGACATCTTTGAAGTGTGTTTACATCAATGTAGAAAAATTAGAAATTAATTTCTTTAAATAGACTGTGAAATTAGATTTTAATTCTGTTCAGTTTTGTTTTTGAACTGTTGAGAAGTACCTCAAACATAGCTGAGAATTAAATCTCGTGTTTTTTTTTTTTAATGGAATAAAGCAGACTCAACATTTTTGGTAGGAATCTTACTCACCTAAGGAAAACGTGGGATATTTGCTGCCTATGTGTGTAACCAACAAGCTGGGAAAGAGTCTGTGTTTTTCATATAGAGGAGGAAGGATGTCTTAGAATAAGGGTATCTGCTACGGGGCCGTGGTCATCCTGAGGGTTTTTTCTCCTCTGCTCAGCTAGTAACCTGCTATGTGACCCTGAGAATGTTACTTAGTCTTTCTTTGACTAAGAACAGCATGGCCTTCCCTTCCGAGGTACTTGATCAATTTTTCTGTAGGTTATCAGTCATATTGGGATTTGGAATTAAGTGCCACTGTGTACATATCTCCTGTTTGTTCTCTTCGATGTAGTATATTTAGCTCTTGAGCTGAAGTCAAATTTGCTTTCTGACTTGAAGGTTTGATCTCGCAGAACTGCCTTTTGCTCCCTTTCATGTCACATGCCTTGGTGCAGTTAAAATTCACTTGTTTGTGTGTAAATATTGACTTATAGGAGTAGAGACAACTTTGCTGACAGGCTGTTGGAAGAAGATCAAAGAATCGCTGCAGATTTTGTTCGTTCATCCCCTTTCTGATTACAAAGGGATCTCTGGATAAATAATATCAACTTGGCTTTGCTCTTGTTTTTAGGATCGCCCTATCAAAGAATAGCAATCCAATAACTTTCTGATGGTTTCGTTTCTTGATTTTTGAGTGAAAATAAGTACTTTTAATCTGCTTTTGCATTTAATATTGAAGGTGATGGTTTATTTTGTCTCTTTATTGCAGAGGTATCAAGTTAAAGATGATGAAAGCACTGCAAGTGTCCAGTGCTCTAACTCGAGGAGAAAATTGCTTCCAAGTTCCTATCTTATCTGGCAGAGGAACTTCTTGGCATGGAGAGTCCTTGTGCTCCAGTCTTGGGAAGAGCTTCAATTAGAGCTAATCAACTGCAAGTCATAAATCCATTGGAAACCAGTGTTATTAATTCTGACCAATAAAGTGACTTGTAACCACGTAGTGGTTGATCCTTCGTTTACAGAAGGATGTGCAAAGTTGTGATGAGCCCGTGAGCTCTGAATTATGAGAAACGTGTAGGGTTAAATCAGCGTGATGTTGATCAGGACTGAGTCTGCTTCAAGTTGGGCTTGATTAAATGCCTTTAACAGCCTCGAATCTCAGTTTTGGGAGTCTCAGGAAGGGGTTTATTCTTGGAATATTTGTTGCTAGAACTGATAGTTATCTGCATCTTTAACCAGAGCTAATGCTGATACTGCATTTGAATTAAGTTGGCTCCACACAGGCGTGACCTGAGTGTTCCCTTTAAGCCGTTCCAAGGACAGACCAGGCCGAGGGTTTTGACGGAGGCTTTTGGGAGGTCTTGTTTTGAGCCTCACCTGCCTTCGATTTCGAGGGGCAAATATTCCTGTCTCCCAGTTGCTGCCTTGGTGTCACGACTGGCGTTTTAGGGATAAGCATCTTCTGGGATGGATCTGTCCAAAGGAACATGGAGGAGCCTTTAATCCCAGAGCAGTTGGTGGCGTTTCTGAATTTGTCACCCTTTTTCTGACCAAGGGATTGGCTTCTGTTGATGTTTGAGGCCAGGTCCATAAGCGGGACTCAGGACTGCGGTGCCTTCCCGGTGATGGCCGCTGCCTGGGCTCATTTCTCCTTCAATTGCCACGTTTTAGTGAAGAAGGGGCAAAATAAGGGGAGAAAAACAGGAAAAATGCAAAAGGTTTCGAAAACGCTTCCTTATACCTAAGCTGCTGTTGACTGACTGTCCTACAGCACAGGCCAAGTCCTTTCTTAATGTGAAACTGGCAAAATTGCTGTATTTTTCCACCAGTAATTTTCATGTGCTAAGTTGATCCTAATTTTTTTTATTTTTTTGAAATCCCACGTGTCCTTCCTCCAGCATATTCTGCTCCTAAGTGTTTAGCATTTGCCTAAGGAAAAGCTTTTTTTCTCTCTCTAAAAATTATTTGATTCTATTCAACCTAATGAACATTGCAGCCATTTTCAGATTGCTCTACTTTCACACGTCCTTAAGAAGCAGCACACGAAGGTGCCACGGGTGCCACATGCGATTCGGGGTAGAGCAGGACAGTATTTTGCTCTCAGAATTCCTCGGCCAGAAACAGGGGGCATCCCTGGCATCCAAACGAGGGGCTGGAACGGGGTGTTTGGAGGGAGGAGAAAGTTCTGGAGATCCTCACGTTGCTGAAGGCAGCCGGGCAGGTGTCTGTCCCCCAGCTCTCATCAACTTGAGCTGCAGCTTGAAACTAGGAATGGGCTGAAGAGGCACAAAATGAGATGGTTTTAGTGTCTGTCTGACCAGTTTGCTTTAAGAAAGCTTTTCTCTTAATGCACAGAACTTTTCTTTCCTTTGACCCCTTAGTGCATGGAATTATCTTTCAAATAAGTGTTGAATTCAAAAGTAAAATGTTGAATTGCCTTAAATTCTGTTTAGGATTCAAAAAATAAGATTTTAATAGAGCAAATTGTCTTCAAGAGCTTGCAGCTATTTGATGCCTTGTGTCTTGTCTGTTCTGAAGGGTTTTTTGTGATTTCTGTCTGGAACTTGCCTCTCCCATTTCCTTTCAAAAAGATCTTTTTTTGTAAGAATACTTGAATGTCCTTAAATTGTTACCTCTTCCCCTCAGTAAATATTTGTATTCTTTTTCAATGTATTTTCCATTTGATGTCCAGGACATTGGCTGTTGTGTTAGACTGAGGTCGGGCAAGGGCTTTGGTGCATTTTGGTTCTAGTTTTGAACCATTTCTGAAACTTAACTCTGACAACTGAGCTTCCCAGTATAATCCGAAGTGTTTTAAGCACCTCGTGTACATTTTCATCCTGGAGAGGTTTCTAAATCGCTGCCCAGTTGCTGCTGTGAGCAGCATCCATGAGCCATTAACCCCCCTTCCTACAACCTGTCCTTGATTTGCCACTTTCTTGAAAAAGATCCTAGACAAACACTTTATTTTTACTATATAAATTATAAAATACCTCTTGGAAAGCTGTTTGCTGTTTTATTTCCACCCCTTTCCTCTCCAGCGAGGGCCTTGGGCTAACTTGGCTCAGCCGAAGCCCAGGCTTTAGCAGATTGAGCAGCTTGGATTTTGCAGTGTGCCTGTGGCTGTGTCTTTGCATAAACACCCCTCGCAGGATGTGGAAACACAAAATTGCAGTGTTTGGGAGAACAAAACTCCTTGGAAAGGGGTTTATTTCTCATTGTGGGGAGAAATAAAAGGAATTATGAAAATTTTTCGTCATTTCAAATTCAACCATGAGTCGCTAGAGGCAAAGCAGGATTTTAGCAACTGCTACTCAGATCTTGGCTCTTATTCTGCACCACTCACAGTAAGCACAATTTTAAACAGTCCTGTAGCTAAATACACTCATTTTAAACTGCTCTTTACTAAGTAACCATCACTGTTCAGCGTTGGCAACAGTATGTATAGAGGAGACAAACTGTTTGGTTAAATGAAAAGCCGCCCATGAAAATGATTCTCCTGCTTCCTCACAATTATTCTGCTTTAGCTATGGCTTTACC